TCTTTCCTCCAGTGAGGGTGGTTGGCTCCTTTGTCGAAGATGAGGTGGCTGAGTATGTCTGGAGTTGTTTCTGCAACTTCTAATCTATTCCACTGATCCTCGGGTCTGTTTCTTTGCCAGTACCATGTTGTTTTTATCACAGTAGCTTTCCTACCACCAATTTTATAACGTTAAAACACTGTAATTCCAAACTAATAAAAATAAAATGTTTGTAGTAAGGTAATAGTCCAAGCTGTTGTCAAGCATTAAGATTTTAATTAATGTTCATCTAATCAGGCTATCACATAGGGAACTATTGCTGAGAGAATGAAATGTACATCAGATATATTTTGATAGGAAAATAAACGGAACTTGGCATTAGCATGAGTATACTAAATTCCAGTCAATGGTGGGGAATATATAACCCCACAAAAAAGGAGTAGCACATGGAAATAGAAGGTGAGGAGAAAATATGACCTACACTATACTTTATACTTTTCTAATCTACTTACAGATTTTTTCTACCTATATATAAGACAAATAAATATTTGATTTTTTAAATTGGCTTGTCAGGATTTTTGTCTTTATATGATACAGTCATTTTAAAAATCTACAGAATTATAAAACCCCCCATTTAATTAGACATCCTTTTTCTTGTAGTGTCTAAGACAAAACTACATGAAGCCAATTGATTGAAAGACATGCTTAATTCATTCGAAAGACATGCTTATAACTTTTTAAGTTCTCCAAACAGAAAACAGATGGATTTGAAAAGCAAAATAATAAGGAAACTTATGAAAAGTAAAATGATTTAAAAATGGAAAAGCAAAATTGAATATATAGATATAGATATAGATATATAGATATATATAGAGAGAGAGACCACCAAAAATATGTATACAGACTTCAGGAGTTCACCTGGAAGCTATTGGCCACCACTTTGAGCACCTCTTGTAATTGTCAAGGCCAAAGGTAACTTCTATTAATCTCATGATGTCTCAATAAATTTAGTATTAAAATATTTATACAAGTTTTTCTTCTCCTAAGGTATACAGTTTTCTGATACTTTAAGAATAAGTAAAAGCCAAATGTGATGGCATATACCTGTAATCCCAACTATTTAGAAAGCTGAGACAGGAAGATATCAAGTTTGAGACTACCTTGGGCAACTTAGTGAGCCCCTGTCTCAAGAAATAAAAAGGGCTGGAGAAGTAATTCAATGGAGCAAGTACTTGCCTAGCATGTGCAATGCCCTAGGTTCAATCCCTAGGAAAAGAAAAAAATAATAAATTCAGTATATAAAGCAATACTAGAATTAAGAAACAAAAAAGAAAATCAGGCATAGTAGCACACACCTGTCATCCCAGAACTCTGGAAGGCTGAGGCAGGAAGATTTGAGTTCAAAGCCATTGTGGGCAACTTAGTGATTACCAAGAACCTGTCTCAAAATAAAAACTGAAAAAGGACCCGAGATGTAGCTCAGTGCAAAGGCCCTGTGTTCAATCCCATTTACTGTCAAAAAAAATTTAAAAGAGTGAGATAAATCTATATCGTACCTATACAGAATATCAAAACACATAAAATAAGATCCCTTGTAAGCTTCTATGTCAATAAATTTGAGAACCTGAATGAAATGAATTACTTCCTAAGAAAATATTACTGGTCAAAATTGACCAAAAAGAGATAGAAAACCTAGAGAAAACAGATAGGCACCATGCAAGAATGGAGAAAGTTAACCAAGAGCTACCGTGTAACAGGGCTAAGCCCAGAACATGTCTTGTGAATTGTTTTAAGCCTTCAAGGAAAAAAATTTCTGGTACTATTTAAGCTGCTGTAGAACAGAGAAAGGAAGAAAATTTTCCCCAATAACTTTAAGATGCCAGCATCCACTTATATAAAAATAAATCAAGACATTAAAAAAGTATAATCATATTTCAAATTATTAATGCAAGGGCTATGAGTGTAGCTTAGCCATAGAGCACTTGCTTAACATCCTGTATCCAGTCCCCAGCACTAAAACAAAAAAATTATTAATGCAAAACTACTTAGTAAAATACTAGCAAATAAAATACAGTATTAAAGTTTAATACAACAACACCAAGTGAGATTCATTCCAGGAAACATATTATTCACCTATAGCAAATAAAAAGAAAAAAATCTAAATGTATTATACCAGTTCATAAAATTCAATATATGCCTGATAAAATTCAGTGAAATACAGTATATATTCCTAAATTATTCCTATTTTTAGCATCAATATAAATAAAAAAACTGGAAGTATCCCTATTAAAATCAAGATTAGGGTAAGAAAATGACCACTACTACTGTCCCAAGCAATTGGATGAGCATTACATAAGATATGCAAATATTAGAAAAGAGGTAGAAAAATTATTTGCAAATAAAATGCTCATGTACCTGAAAATTCAAAAAGAATTAGCAGAACGTGAAGTTGAACTATTATTACTAGAACATGAAGTTTAATGAAATGGCAATTATTTCTAAAAATCAAATGTTTTATAGAGACAAATAAAGGAAAATATGATGAGAGACTATTGACCAAAACCTTAAAATAACTAGGAATAAATATAAAATATTTAAATCTATCTAATGTAAACATAAACTTGAAAAGATACAGATAAAAGAAGGCTTCTCTAAGTGGTTAATTGCTAGACCAAAAGATTCATATTATAAATATATATCAAAAAATTAAAATTGGGCTGGGGATTTAGCTCAGTGGTGCTGCTGCCTACCCCGCAAGGGCA